CTTCTTATTCTCCACCAGTACCCTCTAAATGTCCCTCCTTCCTCCCCTAGAAGACTGTAGGCTCTTTGCAGGGCAGAGACTGCCACCAACAATGAGAAAGACAGCAACTCTGACTGGTTGACACTTCTCAGGTGCCAAGCCCAGAGCTAAGTGATTTACATAATGATCTCATTCCACGATAACAATAAACCTGTATTATCATCTCACTTCACAAATGAAGAAACCGAAGCTTAGAGACAGAGTCACCCAGCTAGAAAACCGTAGAGCTAAATTGTTTCCATTTCCATCAGACTTCAAAATCGGTTCTTTTCATCATAGTATCAACTCTTTGGCCACTGTTGCTTCCATCAAATTTCCCTGATGTTCTGGGAACCTCCAGCTGTCCTCAGTTCTTAGTGGTAGACAAGCCTCCTGCTGACTGTCCTCTCGGACTGCAGTCTCAGGGCTTTGGTGGCCTCCAGCCTGGAGGGTGGTTGGGATGAGAACACTCAAAGCTCTGTCTCCTTCCACCCCCCACATTCTTGCCTCTGTGCATCCCTCCCTGTTTTACAACGCCTCTCTCCCACTCCTTTTCTTGGGGACATTTAAGCAGCTAGAAGATTCTCCCTGGACACTCCAGAGTCTCCGAGGCTGCGGGGATGGTTTCTCTTAATAAGAGTTGGTAAGAAGCCGTGCATCCGTGAAGGTCCCCTAGGAGATCACCTAGATTAAAGACAAGGTTCCTTCAACCCCAGCTCAGCCACCTCTTTGGGACTCTTCTGCTACCCCAATCTCCCGTGCCATTGCGTTAAGCTCCACCCCTGTCCCAATACCTTAAAGTTCGGGGGCTTCATTCAAACCCTAAATTTCCAAGTAGGGGGTGTGTTGGACTGACTTCCGGAGGCATCTTGTCCTGGAAGAATGGGGGAAATGTGGCAGAAGCCACAGCTGCTGCCTCCAAGGACATCTTTATAGCTCCCCGGGGACCCTCTGCCCTTTCCCCCTCCCACAAGCCTGGGCGAGCAGGGACCAAGCTTGCTTGTTATCACCTGACGCTGAGCAGCCTCTGATCCCATTGGTGGAGCCAGATTCGGTCTGGCTCTCCCGTTCCTTCTCGATTTCTCTGCCTCTCTCTCCTCCACGCTGCTTTGATTTCGCTCTTGCTTCTCTCTTCTTGTGCACTCTCTCGCTGGGCTGCGAGCAACGTCGTCTTCTTGCCGGGAGCAGTAGCGGTAGCTGCAGAGCCAAACAGGAGTGGCTGCCTGTGGGGTATGGAAGCAGCCTCCCCGGTGGTAGCCCAGAGAGAAACGAGCGAGCCCCGCTGCCTGTGACCTAGGAGTCAGGCTGCTGTCCCTTGCCTGGGGAGCTCATCATCCACAGAGAGGTCTCTCCTTTCCATCTCTTCCAAGTCTCCCTCTGCAGGGCCGGCTGAAGCCAGGTGAGTGCGCGTCTTCCCCCCGAAATCATCCTGCCAATCCAGAAAGGTTGAGAGCTGTGGCCACCAGGGTCCCACAACTGCCCTCGCTGTCCACCTGGGTTGCCAGGCCTGGCGACCTTGTCCCCTTTCCCCTAAGTCCTTGGCAAAGAGCTTAACAGCTGGATCTGGTCTCCGGGGCGACACAGTTAGTTACCCCGTGACCATTCTGCGCAGTCGGCAATGCCAAAAGGTTCAGCTGGGTGGGGGAGCGTTCCCTATGGCATGCCAGTGGCTTTTTGGAATGGGCTTGGGGAAGGGACCCCAGTGTGGACAAGGTGTCTGCATGGTTGGGAGGAGGCTGGAGGCTAGCTTGTGTAGATAAGGACTGTCTCCACGCAGTTAGGTTCCTTTGGGGTTTTTGACCAGCTTATGGCATGTTTCAGAACATTTTTACGTGTGAGGTACATGTGTGCGGGGGCAGTGTCTATCTGAGTAGCCTGTGGGCATATGTGGGCAGGGGCCCCAAGAGGCAGTATTTTTAGGGGGTGGACATGTCACTTGTCATGTGGGTGGGAGTACATGTTGAGGGAGTACTGTAGCAACCAAGCTGTTTCTATGCAGGGAGGGGCAACTTCGGGGCAAGACGAGGTGGGTAGGTGGGAAGTGTGGGCACAAACCTCTGTTTGTGGGCAAACTTGAGTAGGTGTGCAAACCTGTTGGCCTGTGAAGAAGCAGGTTGACCAATGTGGCCAGAGGCAAACACATTTTCAAAGTCTGTGTCTTGGAACCTACAAAGGCTCCATGGAGAATACCAGAATTCAGGCAAGGATTGACTGTGCTCAAATGCACATGTGTGCCCAGGCGGCCATGTGGGTTGCTTGTCTTCTTGGGGGAGGCAGCATGCATATATGTTGGTGCCTGTAGCTTCCTCTTTTCCCTACTCATGACTTGTGATGATGAGGGGCACATGAATGTGGGTATGTGTGAGCCCGTGGACATGAACATGTGTGCGTTGGCATAAAGGCGACAGCTTTCGAAGGGAACTACTGGGACATTCTTAGACTGTGCAATGTGGAGGAGGGTACATGAGTGTGTGCGTAGGTGAGTGTGGAGGTATGAGGATGTCTAAGGAGGCGTGTGCTGAGGTATGTGGGTACCCCTTGTGCATGTGTATGTGCGTGCATGCCTGCCTGTGTGGGGGTGTGTACATGCTTGCTTAGGGTGGATTCACATGGGAGTGTGGGTGTTCCTCGGGTGTTGTCCCAACCTGTCCCTCACAGGCTGCCCTTCCCTAGGCATCTGGGTGTACAGAAGTTGGATTGACACCCGCCCTTCGTCCATGCTGGCTGGCTGCCCTTACAGGGTCGGTTGCTCCCACTCTCCCAGACCTTAGGCTAGGGTGGGGACCAGCTCTCCCAGAAATGGAGAGAAGAAGGATGAGCAAGCACCTGGCCTGGAATCTCCACCCACCACCAAAGCTGCCCTTGCCTCTAGGAAGACTCAAAAGTGAGGAAGGATCAAGGCAGAGACAGGTGTCTGCTCAGGGCAGGTGTAGGCTGGATCCCACGTGGGTGGGAGCCACTGGAGTCCTCAGGTGGGAGTATGTGTGCATGTTTGTGGGAACAGAAAGCTCCCTCAGAAGCTCCTTGTCAATATCCAGGGCATTGCTAACCCTTTGCTGCTTCCCAAAATTATGTACAGAAATATTGTTGTAGGATTGTTTCCAGATACCCCGTCCCATCTTTACTCATTTGGGAGGAGACCTGGTAGTACTCCCATGTTTATTGACCCCAGACTTCCTCTGCATGAAGCCAGGAGCATCTGGCTGCAGTGGGGGGGGGGGGGAGCTAAGAAAACACTGGAACACCTGGGCAGATAAGGCCATCAGCCATATCCTCAGTCCTCCCAGTACCTGCCTTACAGGCAATCCACAGGTTAAGTTAGTGGTGCCAGACTCTGGAGCAGGCTTAATTGACAGGGAAATGTGGGTTGGATTTTCTGGAAGCTATAAATAAAAGTACCTGATTTTGCAGGCACAAGGTGCCCTCACCCTAGCTCCTGGGCAAGGTAAGGAGAAGAAAGATGAGAGCAGAGAAGGAGGTACTGTGAGATGTGCTGGGTGATGGGCTGCAGAAGAGAAGCCAGGAAAGGCCCTAAGTGAGGCCACCCACAGCTCTGTGTCTCCCCCAAGTTCCCCATTCCTGGGAGAACCAGGCTATAGACAATCCCAGCTAATGCTAGCACAGTCAGGAGAAATAATGGTGTAGTCTTTTCATGCCCAAAGGGCACAGCCGGGTAGAGCTGAAGGAATGGTAGTAGGAGGCAAGGGAAAATTCAATCACTTGAAAAACACTGATAGGAAGAGAAAAGCAAACAGCAGGAACACAGTCATATAGCATGTACGCACTACACACGCGTGCACACACAACCTTAGTCCATAATAAAGAACTTGGCCTCCAGAGTGTAGGTAATTTGCTGGTTGTATGGCCATGTCAGCATCCCCAACTTTGGCTACCTGTCTGTAAAATGAAATAAGGAGAAAAACCAGTACCTGTATACCCCGCCCCCCAGACTTGTGTGAAATGTTATTAGTTTATTTTGTCAATGTTGAAAGTAATTCTGTAAGCCGGGCATAATGGTGCACATCTTTAATCCCAGCACTCGGAGGCAGAGGCAGACCACTCTCTGAGTTGGAGGCCAGCCTGGTCTACAGATCAGTCCCAGGACAGCCAGGGCTACACAGAGAACCCCTCTCTCAAAAAGACCAAAAGTAATTCTCTAAAAGAGCGAGGCAAGCACACACTTGTAATCTCAGTGCTAGTGTGGCTGAGGCAGGAGGATAGTGAGTTGGAAGCCTGGGCTGTAAAGCAAGATCCTGTCTCAGAAAAGGAGAGAGAAAGAAATAAAGGAAAGAAAAAAAAAAAGAAAGAAAAGTCAAGGGAGTCTGTGGAAATAGAAACTGCACGTCAAAGTCATGGACCAAAAAGAGCTAAAGCAGGCTGTGGCCCATGCCACCCCCACCCACCACAGAGATATCCATAGCATTTGTCTCTCCAGCCCTCCACAGCAGGGCCCCTCACTGCTCCAGTCACTCCCATGGAGGAATGAGGCCGGAGCCCCAGGGTCTTGGCACCTGTGGATTCTGGCTGCCCCTGACCTGCCACCTGCCTCAATCCTCGGGCATTGGCCCCTCAGCAGGTGCTTCCTGTGTACCTCCTCCTCCTGATCCTCCCCACTCCCACCCTTTCTCTTTTCACGCCCGCTGGCTAAGGGCCCCTCCCTCCTCAGCTCCATCTGCTGCAAATCTGTCCCTGCCCAGTGTCTGCAGTATTCCCATTGCCTCTGCCACCTGTCAGGTGCAGAAGGAGAGCCAAGAGCCCCCTCCAGAGGGTACCCCATCTCAGCTTGGGTCCCTCCTAGCTAGTCTAGCCCCCTTGCAGTCTTTTCGGTCACTTTTACGAGGCCAGGGCATTCGATGGTATGCAAGACTCCACCTCACAAAGCATGCAGGAGCAGCACATTTCCAGAAAGCTCTGTGACAGGAGGGGCATGCTAATCTTTCCTCTGGCTCTCAATCCCCACAGGAGCCAAACCAGAGGGGAACATGGAACTGCTGTCCACCCCCCACAGCATCGAGATCAATAATATCACTTGTGACTCTTTCCGTATCTCCTGGGCCATGGAAGACAGTGACCTGGAGAGGGTCACCCATTATTTCATTGACCTCAACAAGAAGGAAAACAAGAATTCCAACAAGTTCAAGCACCGGGTGAGTAAAGGATATCCTGGTATTTCTTCCCACCACTTTTCTACATGGAAGCAGATTGATGGGCTCTCTAGACAAATAGGGACGAGCCAGATGCCTGGCCAAAATCCAGATTCTTCTCACAGGGTCGCCTTGCCTAAGTGATCTGACCATTCTGAGCCTTGGTGTCTTCCTTGGTAAAAGTGGAATGATCACACCACCCTTGTAGAGCTGTTGAAAAGACTCCATGAGAGATGTTTTCATGCTGTTTGGCCCCATGCCTAGCACAGCCCCGATGCTGCTATTCCTCATAACTAGAACTTCAGAGCACCTGGGTGTGTGGGCTGGGGCTCAATACCTCACATGTCCAGATCATGTTCCAAACCCCAATAAGTCCCAGAACTGAGGGGTCATACTTGTGGTTGGGTGGGCAGTGTAGGCCCCTTTTAACTGGGTATGTGATACTGTGCACCATCCTAGGTATTCTCTGCTCCTTCCCTGCCCTCTAGACTGTTTCCACAATGTAGAAAGAGATGTAGGAGGGTTCTCTTCAGTGTGTCCTTTCCCCAGGTTAAAAGCCAGCATAGGAGCAGGTAGGAGGGAAACTCTCATCTTCTCCAGCTGCATGCATAGGCAGGGGAGAGTTCAGCGAAGGAGCTGACTCCCAGGGTGACAGCCTTGGTGTGGGCGCGCGCTCTCTCTCTCTCTGTCTCTGTCTCTCTCTCTCTCTCTCTCTCTCTCATTCCCTCCCTCCCTCTCTCTCTCTGGATCTGGCTCCCCAGATCTGGGTGTCTTTTGGCAGGCCAGTTGCCACGGTGACGTGAATGTTCCACACCACCCCCTTGGCCCTCCCCCCGAAGAATAAGGCATATTTTTCTCTTCCTCCCTGGCTTCCCAGCATTTGCTGTTGCCGTGGAGACAGCTCTGCAGTGTGCAGATTTCTCAAAGTCTCCCTCAGAAATGAAGGTCTTGCCACCTTCAACTTTGGGGCCCTCCTCCCTAGTGGCCTTTCCCATTAGTTCTCAAGAGAATGGGGCATCATAGGGCTTGAAGGAGGTAACCTCAAGCCACTGCTTGCTGCTTCGGTGAAATGGTGACTGGGCCACAGAACTGTGGAGTCTCTGAAACTCTGTTTCTCCGTGGGAGGAAGAGGAGAGACCCTTTGGGGGAGTGGGGATTCTGGAATAATGCCAAGATGGGGTGTGACTTCAAGACTGATGCTTGGTTCTCCATCTGTACACCACTTCTCAGGATGTCCCCACCAAGCTCGTGGCCAAGGCAGTGCCTCTGCCCATGACAGTGAGAGGCCACTGGTTCCTGAGTCCCCGTACAGAATACAGTGTGGCTGTGCAGACAGCGGTGAAGCAGAGCGATGGGGAGTACCTGGTGTCTGGCTGGAGTGAGACTGTGGAGTTCTGCACTGGAGGTGAGACCCTGGTATTGTAATAACACCCTGCCTCCATAACACATCTGGCTTTGTTGAGCCATGGGAGGCCCTTCATCCTAGCTCGGCAAACTCAGAAACACCTGCTGCACTCTAGGTGCTATGCTTAGGCCAGAGGGGTGACACAGAGCCTGCCAGACAGATGCACACTCTACACATTGGCAATAATGCCTGCATGAAGGGATGGAACTACTTTTTTGAAGGGAAAAATATGTATACACATATATGCATACGTATTTTTAAGTTACTTTATCTTTATTTATGTGTACATGTGTGTCTACATATGCACATATATTTGCGTGCTTAGGGGGATGAGAAGAGAGTATTGGGTCCCCTGGAACTAGAGTTATAGGTGGTTCTGAGCCACCCTGCATTGATGCTGGGAATTAGACTCCAGTCCTCTGCAAGAACAGCAAGTGCTCTTAACTGCTAAGTCATCTCTTCAGCCCCAAGAGTATATATTTGTCATTGTGGTAAATAGATGTAGCATAAAACTGACCATCTGAACCATATCTAAGTCCAGAAGTGTTAAATGGTTATTGTGCAGCCGATCTTCAGAACTTCTCCATTTTGCAAAGCCAGGACGCTATACCTTCGGAGCCCTCACTTCCAATTTTTTTTCTCCTCTGGGCCGTGCTTACCTCTGTTCTGTTTTTATCTTTGACTATGCAGTGTTGCTCGTATGAATGAGATCAAGTATTTGTCCTTTGGTGACTGGGTTATTTCTTTTATCAGCATATCAGTGAGATGCATAGGTACCATATCATTTACCAGACTTTTCTTCCCATATAAGGTTAGGCAGTATTCCACTGTATTGGCTAGATCATGTTTTGTTCATCAATAATCTACCTGTGGTCATTTGTTAGCACAGTAACATTTTGTTTGTCCTAAGTATCTCCTTAGTCTGGGAAAATGGTTCCCATCTGATGGTCTTAGAAGGGTCTCTTAAGCAGAGCCAAACATCACTTTGTGTATGCTTGTCACTGATAGACCGTGACAAGCTGCCCCAAAATATTCTATCCCTTTGGTGTCCATGTGAGATCTGCTCCAGATTGCTCTCTGTCACAAGGAAGGGGCAGAGAACATTCTCTGCCCTGGGGCCTCCAAGGCTGCTGGCTCCGTACTCTGCCAAAATCTGTGCCCCTAGTCTCCTTGAGTTGCCATAACTGTACTTGAGAGGCACTCCTGCTCCTTGTAGGAATGGCGTCTTGGTTTGTGCTCCCCTCCCCAAACTGCACATGCAGTGGGTGTTTAATTTAAATTGAGGATCTGGAAATGCTGTAATTGGGTCTACCCTGCTCTTTCCAGAGACCAAGCACACAGAAATGCAGTGGCTACAATAAGTGAAGGGTGTTTACCTCTAATTTGTTCCCAGGCACTGTGTAGAGTGACAACTCTGTCTAGGTTCCAAGACCCCTGGTCCAGTCTCAGACATTTTCCTGTATTGGCCTTTTTATTTTTCCTAAATAGAGGCTCAAGTAGACAGCCAGTGCCTTAGCCCCTCTTCTATTGAACACTGACCTGAGGCCCAGGCTCTGCTCTTTGATGCATCAGTAGCCCCCACTTAGACTTACAATTAGCTACCACACTAGCTGTGGGTGGCAGACTCTCTCCTGGGTTTGAAGGGCCCTCCCAAAGGACCTTGTCCCTCTCACGTCTTCATTTTTCCTATGGGCCCTCTTTTCACTTGGATGACAGTCTTGAAGCTCCTAATGTGATAACAGGCATTCCTCTGTCCGTTTTGGACTCAGAGCACCCTGAGCCTCTGGCAAGGCTGACCCAGAAGTGAAGTGAGAACAGACAACAAGCAGTTCTCCATGTTCCCTGCCAAGGCCAGCTGGCCTATCCCATCTGAGTCCAGGCTATTGCAGAAGCTCCCTTGTTGGTCCAGAGGATAAGGTTGTCTGCGGGCTTGGTGGGTGGTATAAAGAGGAAGAAGTGATCCTGCAGCAGACCCATTGCTTGCCTCACCCTGCCTGGACTCTTACAGATTATGCCAAGGAGCACCTTGCCCAGCTGCAAGAGAAGGCTGAGCAGATCGCTGGCCGCATGCTCCGCTTCTCCGTGTTCTACCGCAACCATCACAAGGAGTACTTCCAGCATGCCAGGTAGGGCAAGACAGACCTGTTAGGGCTTCTCCCTTCCCAGCTCTTCCTCCATCCTAGAATGTCAAGGCAGAAATATAGTTGCAAGCTTAGGGCCAGCGTAGGCTACATAGCAAGACCCTATCTAAAAAAACACAAACAAACAAACAGACAAACAAAAAACCAAATAGTGACTACTACTTTGATATTGGGACTAAGAAAAGATCAAGAACATTAACGTGGGGCTTCCTGGCAGAGGGCCCTGCTGGCAAGGTCAAGTAACAAGTTCTGGGTATGACTCTGCCTTCTGGGAGAGTTCTTTTACTGAGGTCTATCGTGTACATGAGCTATCTCTCCATTTCAAGGCTCAGGAACACAGGAGGTGGGGAAGAGAAGGCATAGTGAAAGAGTCCTGAGTGTAGAAAGCTCCGAGGACTCTCAGGTGACTAGCTTTCAAGTTGGGTGCTAAGGAGTTCAGAGGCTCCAGAGAAGCACTTTGGGGAAGTCTTTCAGGGTACTGATCAGAGGCAGGTAGGAAGCCAAAGGATGGAGTTTGGAGGGTCCTACCCACACGACCCAACCAGAGTAGCCTCCGTCTTATTTGTCAATGGCTCACATGTACATTTGCTTTTTCTTTCAAGGAGAGGGGTAGCAGGGCAGGGAATGAGAGACACAGACAGACCAGATCGAGCACTACAGCCTACTGATGTTGAGCCCAAGGCACCAAGGTCTGGCAAGTCACTTGTCTCTCAGGACAGCCAGGATGAGGCAAGAATGAGACTGGACCAGGGCTTGTCCACCCTCCCCCATGCCTGCTGACACTGCTTCAAGTCCATGTCCTTCCAAGTTAGGTCAGGGCAGTCTGCCACGGTACTGTCTTTATCATTACTGGCAGCTGCGGTGGGCGTTCCCACCTTGCCCTAAGAAAACAGTAAAGAACTAGAGTCTTCGGTGTTTCTGATACAGAAGAGGCAACGGTCCTGTTTAGGCTCCTTTTTCAGGATGAAAGGGAGTCAAGGGGTACCCACCTGTGCCGGGCTCCTTATGAGGGGCCGGGACACATAGGCTGAGGCAGAGGTTATTCATCTTCAGAGTCTGGTGAGGGAGGCAGCCTGAAAGGACTGAATGTCTGTGACTCGTGGGGGCCGCAGGCTAATAGGAATGCAGGAGTTGGGCTGGCTCTTTTTTCTTCTCGACCACACATTGCCGCCAGGCTCCAGCAGAGCTAACCCAGGGCGTTTTTCCCTTCTCTTTGGCGTTCCTCCCGGTGGGCAGGACCCACTGTGGGAATGTGCTGCAGCCTTACCTGAAGGACAACAGTGGCAGCCACGGCTCCCCTACCAGTGGCATGCTGCATGGTGTCTTCTTCAGCTGCAACACGGAGTTCAACACAGGCCAGCCCCCACAAGACTCCCCTTACGGCCGCTGGCGCTTCCAGATCCCCGCCCAGCGCCTCTTCAACCCCAGCACCAATCTCTACTTTGCGGACTTCTACTGTATGTACACAGCCTACCACTATGCCATCCTGGTACTGGCACCCAAGGGCTCCCTGGGGGACCGCTTCTGCCGTGACCGTCTACCCCTCTTGGACATTGCCTGCAACAAGTTCCTGACCTGCAGTGTGGAGGATGGGGAGCTGATCTTCCGCCATGCTCAGGACCTCATCCTGGAGATCATCTACACCGAGCCGGTTGACCTGTCCCTGGGCACACTGGGAGAGATCAGTGGGCACCAGCTCATGAGCCTGTCCACTGCCGATGCCAAGAAAGATCCCAGCTGCAAGACCTGCAACATCAGTGTGGGCCGCTAGGGACTCCTGGGGAGCTGGAGGCCTGGGGAGAGATGGCAGGAGGGCGGGGGGATGTGTGGCTTAGGTGTGGGGAGCTGGCTTTCTCTCCCCTCCCCCTGCTCCCTCCACTCTGTCCATCCACCCCTCTCCCACCCCATGTTGGAGACAACAGAAGGTGGTTCTCTGAGTTAGCGTGGCCCATTTCAGGCCTTGGTGGACTTGGGGTGGGTTGTGTTCTCAGCAGGAGATAACTTCCTTTTCTGTTTCCCTTTTCTGTTTTGGGGCCTCAAGCAGGCCTCCATCTCCCAGAGTCCTCCTTGCCTCCTGGGCAGCCTCCATGTAGATGCAGAAAGTTTTGGGGCACCTCCTTCTTTAGCCCCACCTACCCCACTCAGGGCCACCCCAGTCAGCCCCCTCCCTACTCAGCTGGGCCCCAAGGTCTTTGACTCCTCCAGGCCAGGACCCTCCCTCTATAAATAAGCTCCTGCACTGCTGTCTCACCCTGGCTGCTCCTCCCCCACCCCACCCGACCCCATCCCGCAGAGCCCGCTTCCCGCATGGGAGAGCTGTCCATTCTTTCTGTCCCTGTCACTGTCCCACTTGAGATACCCTCCCTCTCATGGGAAAAATACCCTCTCTGTCTCATTTCCTAGTTGGGAGGGCTCTGGGCTCTTGAGCTTTTACTTTTCTCCTGTCTGGGGACGATATATTCCATGGCAAACCTTCTCCCTTGCTCAGAGAGCACCGGGGCCTTCAAAGACAGCTGCTGGGGTCGAGGAGGGGGAAGGAGACCCCTGAGACCTAGTCCTCAGCCAGAAGTGGGCCACCTCACTTCCTCCTGGGCAGGACAGATTAGAGAACTGTGTGTGACCCCCCCAGAGCCCTGGCACCCCGCCCAGCTGTGCATTCTGCTCGCTCACTCGCCCGCTCTGCCTTCAAGTCGTGACTGTTCTGTGCCGTGTGTGAGCCAGACGGTGGGCTCTCCACCACGCCACCTCCCCTGGGAGCTCCCGATGCATTCCCTCACAGCTCCCCATGTTTTCATATTGTTCCACTGTTGTCTAGGTCAGGAGGGTGGCGAGAGTGGACTCCCCAAGATGAGACAAGCAGGTGGAGAGGCAGAGGAGAGGAAGAGAAAATCTTAGTAACGTTTTCAGAGGTGACACAGATGATACACAGGCCACTGGATTTCTGTGAAGGACAGAGGAGCCGGCAGGCCCACAGAGCCATACCTCTGGGGGATAGATGAATGGCTGGTTACCAGAGTCAGTGTTGCTAGACAGTCAAGTACCTCACTGGGATGGGCCAGGAAGTCTGGGATCCTGGGGAATGTGTGCAGAAGAGGAGCTGATCCCCAAGCCCCCTCCCATCTGCTGATAGCATTGCTGTGGGCGTGGCCTGCTGCCTGGTCCTCTGTCCCTGGGTGGGGCACACCCTCCTGTGCTGTGCTTGCCATGTGCATCAATAAACCACCGTGGCCCAAGGGCTCCATCTGTCTTGGTCCATTTAGGCAGCTACAGTGGAATACTGTAGTCTTACAAACAGCAGGACCTTACCTCTCACTGTTATAGAAATTAAGACTTGACGTCTGGGGAGGGCCTGATTTCTGATGCGTAGACAGCCATCTCTGCCTTCTTTCTGTGCACCCCCCACCCCTGCCATGATGGAAGGGATGAATAAGTTTCCCTAGCCTTTAAATTTTTTATCTGTATGTCAGTACACCATGTGCCTGCCTGGTACCTGGCTGAAAGAAGGCACTGAAGGCTGTGAGCAACCATGTAGGTGCTGGGACTCAAACCTGGGTCCTCTGTAAGAGTAGCCAGTGCTCTTAACCACTGAGCCATATCTCCAGCAGGCCCCCTTTTCAAAAGCTAGGGTTTCAAGTCCAGGCTATCCTCCAACTCCATATGTGAGCTGAACATGAACTTCTGATCCTCCTGTTTCTGCCTCCAGGTTACCAGGATTACAGACATGTACTGCCATGCCTGGTTTATGAGGAGCTGGAGACCGAATGCAGGGCTTTTGCATGCTAGACAAGCACTCTGCCAAACCACAGCTCAGTCCACCTCCAGCCTCCTTCACAAGGGCGCTAATGCCATTCATAAGGCTCCCTCCTTATAAAGGGTAATGCCTCCTAAACCCAGCACTGTGGGAGTTGAATTTTGATATGAACTTTGGGATTAGGGCATTTGCTGGGCAATCAGGGCAATATGGTAGTGCCTCTCTTTGAGATGGAAGAGAGATGGACAGAGTGTTTGAGTTGCTCTTTCCACCAGGTAGTCACTTGGAACTGCCCCAATAGTGAGCCCAAATCCTACAGTGGGTGGCAAGGCTCAGAATTCAGAGGCACAACTTCACCCGTGGAAGCGACTCTGGAGATCATCTGATCTCACCTTGTTACTCCCAGATGTGGCACTGGGGTGTATAGAGAGGCCCCTTTGAGATGTGTGCCTAAAATCCCTGGGTCCCTGATGGAGTACTCCCTACAGCCACAGCCTGCCATGGCTCAGACCCAGGTGCCACTGGATTCCCTCTCCCAAGAGCCCCGTATCCCCTCCTCCCTGGCAGGACTCCTCGGCTGCAGATCTGAGTCACCTCTGTGCCTATTATTATAGGCTTATTAAAATGGTTCTCAGCTGCAGTGGAAATGTTCCAGAACTGTCGCAGGCACCTTACCAACACTGCCTGAGTCAGGGCCAGGGTTACATGTGTCATGGGGTTGGCCGATTTGGATTAAAGGAAAACTGAAGGGCAAGTCACCACACTGAAAGCCTCATGTGCAGGCACCAGGTTGGTACACACAGCAGCTAGGTTGGTCTGCACTGCATGGTGTTCCTACCTCACATATGGGAAACTGAGGCACAAAGAAGTTTATAGGCTTGCACATGTCTATGGCAATTCAGAAACAGGAATATTCCATCTGGGGCCCCCTGTGGCTGCCTCCTTTAGAGTATGTCAGTTTATGTGTGGGACAGGACCCATCTCCCACTCAGTGGCCCTTCCCACAGCTCTTCCAGCTCACAGACCGCGTGCCTTGTTCCAGAATGACGCCAGGGGGGGCTGTAGAGTCACAAATGTCACAGAGGCTTATTTTAAAGGAGTGGGAAGCAATGAACCCAGGGTTGAGGGATGGAGAGTGACTCTTGCCTCTGGGCAGTGTGGATTTAGAGTCCTTAAAAAGGGTGGGCCTCATCTTTTCTTTTGAAAGCCCTTCGGGGTCTCTTGGAAAGAGGGACTGGCTTTCAGAGTCCTCATACTGGGGACAAGGGTGGAGAACAGAAGTAACCCCGCTTCTTTCTCTGTCTGAATGGCCACTCTCAGCATGTGACCAACCCTGATCTGGAAGTACCCAGCAGAGAGAGAATTGTCAGAGCACCCACCAGGCTGTGCTGGGATTTTCCTGACCCAGGAGAAGGAGATGCATACACACATAGGAATACCATCCACATAGGAATACACACCCCTTCCCTTGGGCTGGCTTTGGAGGAAGCAAAGGAGGCCCAAGGTGAATTGTAGCTAAAAGGACCTGAGTTTGTCTCCAGTGCTGACTGTAAGGGGAACCAAAGCCTAGGCTTAGGGTTATAAATAGGTGGGTTCCCCTGTATATAACACAGGTACAAACACATGGTCGTACCCATCTCCCTCCAAAGCACACATGACCCTCACATTCTCCTCTGCACTACGGTGCACCCAACTTACCTAATTCTTCTTTCCTCCCTGGCCAGTATCTGTACTTTCAGTGCTTGGTGGAAAACAGCTCTGCCTGCCAGAGCCAAGTGAGTGGGATGCCAGCTCTAAGGCTTCAGAATTTGCTCTGCCTTCTTTATGTGACTTCTCTCTTGTTAGGAAAAAGGTAGCTGAGGTCCCAAGGAAAGGGACAAGGAGGGACTATACCCTGAAATGGAAGGAGGCCTGATTTAGGAAGCTGAGCTGAGGTGATTGCCCATTAAAGTGTGGCCACAGCATCTGGAGAAGATTGGAACCAGATGTTCCAGGATGGGGGCAGGGAGGGCGTCAGGCAGGAACAGCAGCTCTGGTCAGGAGGTTGGGTTGGGGGGGCAGTGGGGTGGCTCATGACCCTCTGGGGAGAACACCTGGCTGCCCTCTCCCTCCAATTCTCCCCCCACGGCAGGCACTACTGTTTTTGCAAACTGGAGCAGCCAAACTTTTCACAGATTCCAGAATCTGCCTTGTACATAGGGACAATCAAGTACAGGGCGAAACTTGGGAGGTACCCAGAAAGGCTACCAGCTGACCAGAAATATGTCCTTGTTGCCCCACAGGCACCTCCTTGCTATGGGTTAAGCATCCTCCCCCTGGCAGAGGAAGAGCTGCCTTGAGCTCCGAATGTCTCACTGGAAACCAGTATAGCCAGAAGTTTGTTTTCAGAACAGGAATAGAGAGCAGTCCGGGATGGGGAGCTCTTTGGCAGAGAAAGCCTGGTCATTAAAATCCTACTATTTGCTAGACACAGTGACAGGCTGTCTTTCAGAGGTCATTTCCTTCCTTCTTCATGGCAGGTGTTCCTATCATTAGCAGGACAGTATGACACAACTGAGACTCAGAGAGGTTAAGTGAGTCATCCAGGTCACACAGGCACCAGAGGTAGAACTAGGGCTTAAAAATGAGTTGTTGGTGTTAAAGCTTGGGACCTTTCTGCTTCTGAACAGCGTGAGAGGAAGAGGGGAATGAAAGTGTTGGGGGGGAGATTGGTCACCCAATGTTCCTGATTTGAACGTCGAGGCAACTGTGGGCCTTGGGTTCCTTGAAAGGATCCCAATGGCTTCTACAATCTAGTTTGCAATTTGGTGGCTTTAGAGCCTGGATGTTCGCATTTCTTGACCGTCTCTGTAACAGGAGGGGAAATGATGGTAGGTGGCAGGTTTTGGGAGCAAACAACCAGCCATGGAGCAGCTGGTCAGTGTCACAGAAGTAATTCCCTGGGTTGTGTTGGCCTCTCTACCAAGGTTTGAGATGTGCTCCCAGGGGAAGCTCTGTGGTTTGCTTCTCTTCTCCTGACTCCAGGGCTGGAAGTGAAGTGGACCTTCTTCCCTGATGTTATCTGGGGACTAGGGACACTCAGAGCTGAGAGACAGTGAAGGAGCCACTGGGCCTTCCTCAGTCATTGCATCACGTGCATTGCACTAGAGTTGACCTAGTTCTGATTGCTAGGTGTTTAGGGATAAGGGTGATCTGGTCATAGGGAGCATTGTGATTTACTCAACTCTTAGACAACATTTCCATAAGCCAGACCTGTCTGGAAAAGAAAAAACACAAAACAAACAAAAACAAAACACCCCTAAAATGTGTCCACATCCTGCAGTCCAGTACCCTAAGGAGGCGAGCCTTGCTCTCCGTCTTCCCCTTGCCCACCATCCTCAAAGACCCTCTCCTCTTTCCTCACCATCACTGACTATTCATCGCCCATGCTTTAGGCTGCCATTGCCTGATTGCAAGCATTTGGAGGTGAACATCTGGGCATCCAGACTTGTCTCCCCCCTTACTTCTCAGCTCAACATTGATAGAGAACCTTGAAACAGCTCCAAGGACCTACTCTGTGGTCTTCACTCTGTACCTACTCTACACACTTGTTTAGGAGCCAATACTGTGGCTCTGGCCCTACACAAATCTAGATAAGTCTCCAAGATGCTCTGCACCTTCCACTATTGGCACAGTGCCCCCTGTTTGTCACTCTCTGGAACTGAAATGCCATGGCTCCACTGGCCATTTCTGATGAATCCAGAAAAGGTCAGAAGGCTTACCCTGGAGTCCTCAGAGGAATATAAGTCTTCCTGGATGATGGAGTCTTGGGAGACATGTGTGGGGGGCAGCTGCATGGGTAGGTCATCTGTTTCTAGTCATGCTGTTGTTGTTCATGAGATACACACATACAAACACACACCTGCCTCCACCACCAGAATGGACGAACTGATGCATCTCAGTGGTTGGAAGCCTCTGGCTTTAGACAAGGTTGTGATCTTCTTGGCTCCTTTTGGCATATGCCTCAAGATCTGGGATTGCCTTCCTTTGGATTTTACAAGAGCCTTGAAAGCTGGTAGAGAGAACTGTGACCACTGGCTACACACTGTGTGTCATGGAGGAGCCAATGCAAAGTTGGTAGGTGACCAGAAGGTACAGGAGATGCCATGTGACTCCCATCATTCAGGAGCCCTTGAATTCTGCTCATGGCCCTACAGGCTTCGTTGAACACCTCTCCCACAGGAGGGGGATTAAGGATAAGTACCTCTGGGCATTTCCTGTATGCATGCAGATCTCCAGAGCCTCATCTATAGACATGTCTGGCCGTGGGGGGGGGGGGGGGGGGAGAGTGGCTTCAGGCTGGCAGGGGAGCATTTGGTGTTCTGGAAGGCCCTGGGTGCATTGTCTACTTTCCATCACTGCTTTCTGCATAAAAGGCCTATATGAGGTCCACCATGCCATGCTGCTCCCTAGGGATTGGTCCAGATGGCCTGGTAGAGAGCCTACATCTGCCACAGGGATGAGCTTCGGACTGATGGAAGAATCCTAGCATCTCAGAGAGTCCTGCTTCAGGGAAAGCCAGTGGCTTGCACCAGCATCAGGGTATAGCCAGAAGAGGGGAGAAAAGCCTTGTTCTGCTTTCTGTGTGATGCAGTCAGAAATCCCAGGGAAGCCTCCTAGGAAAGGAGGGGGCAGGGCTCTTTTCTGGCTTCTCCAAGCTCCAGTCTGGGCCTCACTGTTGGCAACAGCAGGGAGGAGGAGACTGGACAAGACAGCAAACAGTCTTTGTCGCCTGGGGAGAGGGGCCCAAGCTGGAATGTTTACTCAGTGACTACTGGACCATCCTGGCTTTCCTCTCCAAAGAGTAGAAGATCCCTGGCCCTGGCACCCAGCATCTGCAGGTCAGGATGGACCTAACTTAGTCAATGTGGGTCTTCCCACTTCTAGTGGGCTTGCCAGCTGGACATTCTCACATATCCCTCCCTCCCTCCCCAGACCAAGAGACAGAAAAGCCAGATGGACAAACATACCCTAAAACTCTTTTATATGCCTCTTCCCTCCCCCAGAAAGCCTCTTTATAGAATGTTCTACTCCTGTAGTGTGGGAGGGCTATAAGCAGTGTGTGTGTGTGTGTGTGTGTGTGTGTTCACCTCGGTGTGAAATCACACCCTTAGGAATCCTGGAATTTTGAGAGGGAAGGGCAGCCAGCAAAACCAGGTGTTTTGGCTCCATCCTGGCTTCAGACACCCAGCAAACTGGCACATCTGGAAGAATCCACATGTCCCCACATCGAAGACAACATCTGGCACAGGATATTGGCTGTAACACTTTCTGTTTATTGGCTGGGGTGCCCTGGTGTGGCTGATGAGCCAGTGGGCCTAAGAGGAGCCCTGTCTTATTTCTCCACCCGCTCTTCTCCAACTCCCCACCATGGCTCCGAGGGGATACCCATAGATATTGTGCCCCAGGAAACCTGGAAGAGGGGAGTCAAAATAAAACCAAATTGAGGCTGGAGAAGGGGCAAGAAATGTACGTTACAATGAAGATTAGGGCCACCGGCTATACACAATATAGTGTGTAGAGACGGCAGGGAAGGCAGCAGGGTCCTGCACAGACACTGTCTTGCCCCAGGCAGGGCCCCAAGGAGGAATGGTCACTTCAAGTGTCTTGGTGAAAGCTCTGGTTCCCTGGCCTCTCTGGTGGGAGGCTGTGGGGAACTGGCTTATAAGGAGTCCGATCCCCCTACCTCCCAATGACACCTGGCCCATTGGCCCTGTAGGCCTTGGTGCCTGGGGGTGGGGACAGTGTGTCACCATCTGCCTGTCACCCCCATTGTCCAGTCTGGGTGATCAAGGAAAGCAGGACTCCAGTTCCTGCTACCATGCAGGGGTAGTCACTTCCTGCTATGGAGTGTGTCCTGGAACTTGGTGCTCGTGTAGCGCAGGTGGAAGCCTTTCTTGGAGATGGTGTCATCAGAGTGGAATTTCACCAGGACAGAATCTCCGGCCGAGTACACTTCCTCAGGAGGCTGCCAGGGAAAAGGATGGGAATGAGGAGCTGGGATGGGGCTGCTGTCTTCTCTCCCCAGAAGTTCTCAGTGTCTCAAGATTCCCCATGAAACTGGGTGGTACATGCCTGTAATCCTTGCCACTTAAGAAACAGAGCCAGAAGGAGAGCA